AAAAAAAAAAAAAAAAAAAAGTGTCAGCCTATTTTTTCCTTAACAACATAATAGTAGAAAAGAAATATTCACTGGAAGATGTAGAAAAAAAATTGAGTCAAACGTTTAGTCACAAGAAAAAAAGAAAAAGGGGGGAAATATATGAAAATAATATATGTAAAATGAATCTGCACCAAAATATCAAGAAAAACCCTCCTGTCCCCCAAAGTAGAAAGAAAGCTTTGAAATATCCAAGGAAAATTCACAACTAAAAGACATGATGTTCTAAGATTCTAGCTAAAATATCCACTGTATCCTCAAAAAAGCATGTGAAAAACACAAGAACACCACTGTCAAATTTCTGAACACCAGAGACGTGAGAGGCAAGAACAGGATTCAAAGGACTATAATTAGAATGGATGCAGCAACCGTCAAAGCTTTAAGAAGTCAACAAAGCAATGCTTTTTAAATCCTGAAAGAAAGTAACTTTCCACCCAAAACTCCACCTGCAGACAAACTACCACGCCAGACTAGAGGAGCACAGCCCGGAACGCCACTGAGTGCCCATCGCGGCCACCGCCAGAGCAGAGCGGCCGGTCGCAGGCTTGTCACCTGCGCTAGCCCTGCTGAGACCTGTGACACCGCCGTACATAATCTGGAGGCGTGCAGGATTCGCACCTCACACAACCGCGGCAGATGATCTGGAGGCGCGCAGGATTCGCACCTCACACACCCGCGGCAGATGCAAGACTGTTTTCTACATAATGCTACGTCTTCGGGGCAGCACACTTTCTAAATAAGTCTTCGTTTAATTGTTTTAGAACCCTAAGTATTTGTACTATAAGTTGGCCTTCATTAATGAGGCCTGATTTAGTCATCCACCAAGGAAGAAAAAATCCTTCTGTTTCTATCTGGTCCCAAAAGCCTCGGAAAACTCCTGCAATCAACACTTACTCTTACACAGCACGCTTGCATATGAAGAGTATTTTAAAAGACACTGTAACGGGAATTGCAAAAAGAC